CCCCAAAACCCCAAAACCCCAAAACCCCAAAACCCCTACTCAGCAAAGACTTATTGAATATTTCTACAAAACCCATTGTGGGCATTCTTATCTTAGGAAATCAGTTAGGATTTGTATGGATGCTGATGTCCATACATTGTCTTCAAATAGTATTGCAAAAGAGCTTAGCGCAATTTTTGAAACACCAAGTTATTTTATATTATTTTTAGGAAATAAATTTAGATACCAACAACCATATTTCTCAAATGAAATTTCTCAATGCTATAGATATAACTTAAATTTTTGAATGATCGAGATGATACATTATGTCATTAACGGCAATATATTTTCACTCGATACTCTGCTTCCTCTATGAATGTGAACTAAAAAGAAATGATTATGTTTTAATTCTCACTGGATCCTCAAGAATTATGTAGGATAATGAGCGAATCAATTCTCTATCTGGTACACACTAAGATAAGACCTGGTTCTTATCACAAACAGATTGCTTCAAACAAGACCAATGGGCTAAAACTAAAGACATCCTGAGATATTTATTCTCGAACAGACTTTTTGTGTTTTAAACGATATCAAAGTAATTAATAATTCTCTTTCTAAAATAGACCTCTAACCTATGTTAGAGGTGGGAAACACTCTGAAGCTCTGCTTTCAAGGATCTTCATTGCCTTAAGATACACAGACGAGTTCTTCTTCATAGTTAAGTTTTCATCCATCCTTTCTTTGCTTGCCTTTGCAATATAAGTGATGAATAACTGAGAAAGAGAAATATTCTGAAAGCACTCTTCTATTTTGTCAATGCTAAATTTATACAAGAACCCATGTATTTTCATGATCTCTGCTTTAACAGTCTCAACATCATCACCGAATGTCCCAAATTCCTGAATGACTTGGAGAAAATTAGAGTCCTTAACGATTTCTTTTGGGAATAAAAGAGATCCTAAATCGAGTGAGATACATCTTCATTCACTGGGGCTTTTCTCTGGGTATACACTGGAAGTAAATTGAAAGATAGACTCTGAGAGAGCAGGATCAGTGAAGTTGTGAGCCTTGAACACCTTGTACTCCTCAAGAAAATACCTTCTAAAGTCTCGTAGTATGGTCTTATACACCACATCTCATCTAGTTGCCAGTCACCCAGTTTCGTTATCGAACGTCATATCCATTTTAATCTGCTTTATTTCCTGTAAAGACTTACATATTGACTTAATTCTCTTAGAATTCGAAAGAGGCTTTATTTTCTCCAAGGATTTCGCTTCCCTATTATCTGATTTGTCTGTTTTCTGATCAGGAGTAATCTCTTGCTTTTGCATGCAAGCAGAGTTCTTCAAAGTTCCTTCCTCATCTGAAGGGCAGCTCTTGTTTCAAGGATACCTTGGAACAGGAATATAAAAATTCTTCCTCTGATTTAAAGCGATTTGGTTTAGATCTTCTGCATTGTCAAAATTCATGCTGCCTGGAGGATCTGATCTATCTCTCTGAGAATAAGATGAGACCAAGAAGTTGATCAAATATTTATTAAGAACATCCTGCATGTCATGTGTAAGCATGCTAAGGACTGACATGTTTATTTGGGCCTCAGAGGATTCAAATCATTTCAAATTTTGATGAGCGAACATTTTTGTTGTTGAAATTATATATGCAATACTCACTAATTTTCTATAGCTTAAATAAAATTCGGGGTTTTGGGGTTTTGGGGTTTTGGGGTTTTGGGGTTTTGGGG